AAGATAAGACATTAGAGGTTTAGAGAAAGCAGGACTTGCAAGTGAAATCAAGGAGATGGGCCTCATCTGCAGTGTTCTGATTTGAGCCCACCCTAGCATGACTCTTCCAAACCCAGGGAGAAGATGGGGGTGGGTGAGACCCCTGCTTCGCCCTTCTCCTTCCTCCTTCCCCAACCCTGGGTGTGCATTCCTCGAGGCCCCAAACCCTCAGCATCCTCCTGTCAAATCCGACCTGTTCCTTAAGCTATAAATAAATAGCTCACAATGCTTGACCTGAGGCTTCCCTCGGGGGTTCTGTGTTCTCACCTGGCCCACATTCTAAAACCATGGAGCTCCAAGGAACCACCCTGGCAGATTGTCTCTTAGGGGAGAGGGTGGTTGGAAAGTTGGAGCTTTGTATTAGTTTTCTCTTCCTGTATAAACCAACCCTGCAGGCAGCAATTTATTCGGAAGGCAAGGAGGCTCTGGCAGGGGGCTGGGGGGATAAACCAGAAAAGGGGACAGCCACCAAAGCTGCTTTATTGAGCACTTGCCCCTGTGGGCTGCTGAGCTTCATCCCTACCCGGGGAAAGTTGGCAGACGGGTTCTCTTGGGGGAACCTATGCCTCGGAATTGTCCTGTTCAAAGGGGGGGGGGGGGCTTGGGCATTTGTATGCTACTCCTTTGGTTGTTGGGTGAGGGCTGCTGGTCAAGGAGCGTTAACTGTCTGCTGTTCGTGGCCTGCCAAACAGGAAAGCAGGCTTCCGAGGTTAGAGAAAGCCCTCCGGCAGAGAAAGGCAGGTGCTAGCCCTTGGAAAGGAGTCTCAAGTTCCTGGCATGGCAGGGCCAGGGGGGTGGGCAGGCCACGGGCGCGGGCGTCCAGCCCCACCTGCCGCTAGCTTCCTCCCACTCCTTGAAACCACAGCCCTCAAGTTAGGAATCTCATCCCAAACTGGGGCACTATGGTGTAGGTGCGTGTTCACGCATGCGTGTCAGGGTGCTGGTGGTTATGTAACTGCCTTCTAAAGCCTGGAGGGAATAAATGAAAAATTATACCAGTTTTGTGTGGGTTATTTTCTATAGCTTCTCTTTTCTTCTTAAGAAGCTTTGATTTAAAGGCCATGAGATCCTATTATTACTTCTAAGTCTTTATACAATACAATTGAAATTGTCTGCTGCGCTGCACGACAGTAACCAATTCTAGGTATTCCCCTTTTTAATACACATATTTATTCAAGTGACAGTGATACAGGGTCTTTGTGTGTTATCCCATATGACTGCTTTAAATGATAGAGCACTTTCTAGCCACTCATTCTAATGATCCCTTTGTAATGATAATGGTACACGGAGAACTTTGCAGCCTCTTTGAGCAAGCCACATGATTTTTTAAAGAAACAAAATAACTAATTCATTCACCAAACAGCTGTTTCTGGAGAGAATTGTTATTTGGCTGAATTTAAAGTTTCCCTCCTCTGCAAAATACTGTGTGTGTGTGTGTGTCCAGATGGATATCAACCATTGTTTTTTTTTTTTTTAAGATTTTATTTATTTATTCATGAGAGATGCAGAGAGAAAAGCGGAGAAGCAGGCTCCATGCAGGGAGCCCGATGCGGGACTCGATCCCGGGTCTCCAGGATCATGCCCTGGGCTGAAGGCGGCGCTAAACCGCTGAGCCACCCAGGCTGCCCGATAGCAACCATTGTTATCAATTAACCAAACATAGGCATTGGGACAGGTTCTTAAATAGTGTATCTATATTGGATGTCTACGGGAATTTGAGGAGGAGTATCCATTTCCTTCTTATTTCGTGGGAATTAGAGTATGTGTTTGTAGCCTGACCTCTCCCCTCCATGTCACAGGGCAGTCCCTGAGCTAAGCTGGGCCAATCGGAAGTCTCAGCTGATTTCATGCCTTAGGCCAGCAAAACAAAGGGAGAACTTTGGAGCACATCTTCTGTGGGAGCCGTGAGGCAAGGGGTGATGGTGGGTGCTTAGCGGTGACAGTCACAGCCCTAGCATCCATCTGTGACGGTGTTCCAACAGATTTGGTGTTTCCTTGTTTGGGGCCTCTGCAGTTACCTCTAGTCATTCAAAAAGTATTTGTTGAAAGCCTATTTAGAGCCAGCCACTGTATAATGCTAGAGATCCAGAAGTGACTAGAACAAATATAGTTCCTGAGAGGATAAAAATAACCACAAATCCCCCCACACACACACCCTGAATCTGGGATCCTACAAAAAGGTGTTACAGGTCCCTTCAGCAAGAGGCTGCATCTATTTCTCTACTCCTTGAATCTCAGCTGGCTAATGGCCCTGTCACAAATGTGATTCATTCAAGGAGACAAAAATCAGGTGTGCATTGGAGCCCTGACTGTGATATGAGTAAGTTCAAGCTAGACAGCTAGAGGGTAAGAGTTCACATGGAAAAGAAACAAGATAGCCCAGCCAAAGCCTGGCCAGCTTTCTGCTAACCTAGTTAATGAATGCAGATGTTTGAGCAAGCTGTAGTCAAGATCAACCAAACCTGCCCCAGACTGGAGGACCATTCAGCAGAGCACAGTCCAAATTGCCAAGCTATAGAGTTAGGAGCTAAATAAATGGCTACTGTTTTGTCTTGTTTTGTTTTAAGATTTTATTTATTCATGAGAGATGCAGAGAGAGGCAGAGACATAGGCAGAGAGAGGGAGAAGCAGGCTCCCTAGGGGGAGCCTGATGCAGGATTCAATCCCAGGACCCAAGGATCATGACCTGAGCCAAGAGCAGATGCTCAACCACTGGTGCCCCTAAATGGCTACTGTTTTTAGCCATTGAGTTTTGGTGTGATTTATTATGCAGCAAGAGTCAACTGATACTGTCTCTGCTCTCATGGCATTTACATTCTAGTGGGAATAGATAGTCTATAAATGTGTATGTCGTATTTTCTGTTAGTGGAAACTGCTACAGGAATTTTAAAGAGAACAAGGGAATAGAACTCTCAAGGAAGTGTTTTCTGAGAAAAATACATAAATGAAGAGAGGGACTGAACTTATGTACACCCAGAAAGTAGCTATTTCAGAGACAGGATGGTAGGTGCAAATGGCCTGTGGCTGGAACATATTTGATACATTTAGAGAAGGTGAGACGGCCAGGTGTAAGTCAAGACAGAGAGGGAAGGAGAGAGGGTGAAAAATGACGTGGGTGAGGCAGCCAGCGGCCAGTATTCACGGAGAACCCACAACAGTGAATCTGTGTTTTCAGAGTGAAAGGATCTGCCCAGACACACTGTGTGCCTGAGTAGTACCTATGCTTGAGCTGCTCAAAGGGAAGAAGGGACCAGGAAGGCAAAAATGAGCAGGTGAGGCCATCTAACATGCTTACATGTTAAGGGACACCAGTTTAAATTTTAGCTCAGTCATAAGGTAACGAGGAAGATAAATTGGTTACATAAAAGAATCAATCCTTTGATTCACTCTGAAATCAAACTGAAAGTTTTATTATCCAGGCCAATGTCCTTCTACTGTGACAGACTGTCCTGAGCTTTCTGCATTGTTTTCAAGTTACAATTGAACAGTTAGCACAGTATACACAACAACGAGTTCATGTGTGTCAGGCATTCGATTCTGTGTGGTTGGCTGGGAACACCTCAAGCATGAATCCTGATACCATGGAGTTTCATGACATGGTAATTTACTAATATTAGAATTTTAGGATATTCTTAAGTTTGTTAAAGAATATTATAAAACCAGCAGCTTGGTCATTTCCTGCTGGTATGAGACATTCAGCACCAAGTAGTAAGGGAAGGCCAGAGGATGTGTATATAAAGGGATTTTTAAGAAATCGTGCCAAGGGTCTGAGCCAATGAGTTGTGTCCAGCCATGGTAGCAAAGTAGAAAAGACCCAGAGTAGTTATCTCAACCGAAATGTGAAAGCCACAAGATTGGGGCTCCATGAGAAAACCATAATGGGGGAAGCAAATGGGTCCAAGGGGTCAGATGAAGCAGACGGGGGTCAATAGGTAGGTCCTCCATTCATTCCTTGGTGCTTAGGCAGATAAAGTATAAAGAAGGTGCTGGATGAGCTGGAAAATAATGGACATTTTTCCAGACAAGAAGACTTGATTATAGACAAGCTAGGGTCTCTCCTGTCTGATGATTATTCAAGGAGGAAAGCTAGTGGAGATGCAGCAGAGAATGTCTAGCCTCAGTTCTCATCAGAGAGCATGCCTGGGACAGCTCTGGAAGATTAGACAGCTGTGGACACACTGATCGTGCCGCCGATCCTGTAGGCCTGTGACCGTGCATATGGTGTGGGCTTGCAAAGCCTCCAGGCAGTGCTGTCCTGTAGAACTCCTGTGATGGCAAAAATGCTCTTTCTGCTTGCAGCCCTCATGTGGCTAGTGAGTGCTTGAAATGTGGCTTATGTGACTGAAGGAGCTGAATTTTAAATTTTATTTAATTTTAATTGATTAAATTACAAATTTGGATTTGAAAACCCACATGCAGCCAGTGCCTACGAACCCTAGTGGATAGCCTACTCTGGAATGTTGGCTTTCAAGACCTCGGTCCCTGATCTAGTGATAGGAATGTTATGGGAGGTCAGGGGCCCCATGAAGCAGAAGACTTGTTCTCTTTTATTCTAAGACTTAAAACAAAGCCTGACACGGGATGTGCTTGATAAACATTTGTTAAATGTGCTAATTCATTAATGAGAGAGGGGGACAACTAATCACACTCATCGCTCTTCGATCGATACGATACTCATGACATGACCACCAACCATCTTGATTCCTCTTCTGAGGGTGGCTTCTAGATCTGGGATGGCTGTGCCCAGTCTTGTCTTTGAAAGGCCCTTCCTAAGGACAGGACCAAGACAGGGAGTCTCCATCCTACTCTTCAAATAATGGTCTTACCTCAGCTTTGGTCGTTACATGCTATGATATCATAAGAGGTATTAATCTTTGCATCATTAACCTTGTGTTAATCTTTATAGAGAAAATACCACTGAAAAAACTAAGCTAGTACGCTGTAAATTCTCTCCCTTTCAGAGAACTATGATCCAGTTCTTCGCCATGGGAAAACAGCCAGCATAAGTGCCATTGATTAAGAACCCACTTTGTGTTGTGATGAGCACCGGGTGTCCTAAGGTAAGTGTTGAAACGCTAAATTCTACACCTGAAATAAACATTACACCGCATGTTGCCAAATGGGAATTTCAATAAAAATTTGAAGGAAAAAAAAAAAAAGAACCCACTTTGCGCTAGGCATGAAATTAGACACGTTGTAAATAGTATTTCCAATCCTTACAAGAACCCTTCCTAGGAATTTTCATCTCCCTATAGCAGGAAGAAGCTTGTAACAGGAAACAGCCTGTTCCCTATAACAGGAAGCTTCCCTAGGAAGTTAGGGCTCAGTGATCTTTAAGTTACTTGTCTGAGGTCCCGCTGCTTCCAAGTTGTTAAACGGTGGGTCCCTCTAAAACCCATGCATTTCTACCATACTGCAGTGACTCAAAACTGTGGTCGTACCCTCCCGTCCAATAGCATAGGAACGTAGTCGAGAAATAAAGTTCACTGCCAGTAGCTTGTTTTGTGAATATATAATTCTGAAGAAAACAGGCCAGTATCTTAACAGGCTCCTTCTTCCCCAGCCCCGATTTAATCATGCAGACCATCCAGGGGCGACAGCTACCTGAGGCACAGGCCTGCCCGTGAAAGAAGGTGGTATTCACCCTCAATGAGGCCATAAATCTCGGAGAGCTTCGTGAAGAGTAACTACTGAGAGAAAAGAGAAGGGTTTCCGTGGGGCAGCTGGAGAAGGAGTGTGTGTGTGTGTGTGGGGGGGGGTGTTTGAATAATTATTGTGGTAAGTTTATTTATGCTGCCACTTTGGGCTTTTATGGGAAATCCTAAAAGCCACATCTCTGGAGCTGGAGACTTGGCAGGAAGACAAAAGAAAAATGTTGTCCCGTTTGTATTCAAGTGGTTACTAACACGATGGCCACGGGAGTCTCTCTCCTTCCAGAAATGGTTGGACTTCGTGTGCTCTAATCAGAAGGGGAGCACAAGCCTCGAATCAGGTCCGGACGGCTCCCTCGTCCCTCACTTTCTGCCAGTTCACAGCAACTGCCGGGAAAGGGTGGCGAGTTGGTTTTAGGACAGCGGGGCAGTGCTCGGCCTCATTTTCATCAGCTCCGAGCCCGCAGAGACCAGACAGTTCTGCAGAGTCAGATTCTGAGAATTGCTTTGCCGGAGAAGAACTAAAGGCCCTTAAAAAAGAAGATACCTGAAGGTCATAGGTCCACTTCTTCCTTTTGTGTGAATTCTTTTTTTAAGAGATTTTATTTATTTATTTGTGAGAGACACAGAGAGAGAGAGAGAGGCAGAGACACAGGCAGAGGGAGAAGCAGGCACCCCGCAGGGAGCCTGATGTGGGACTCGATCCCAGAACTCTGGGATCAGACCCTGGGCCGAAGGCAGATGCTCAACCACTGAGCCACCCAGGTGCCCCCTCTTTTGTGTGACCTTGAAAGCATTGCAGAGGGTTGGAATGAGTGTCAGAGGACCCCAGGCCCATCTCCAGAACCCCAGTCCAATCCTTCTTGAAGCCATTCTTGGGATTCAATCGACCATGACCATGCTCCCCAGTGCCTCATTTCCCTCACCCTAGCCATCATTTTTATCACGCTGTATTTTTCCAACACTTTCCTGGAGGCATGCTTACCCATGGACGTAAGTCCCGAAAGGATGGCCACCACTGCCATCTTCCTCATCACTGCCAACCCCTTGTACCTGGTGGATTTGGCACATATAGAGATTAGGGTTGTGTGACAGGCCAGCTGAGATGTTCTGTGACTTATTTCGGAGTGAGCTTGTGCCACGTGGCGCTGGGGTGGGGAGTGCTTCTGGACGAGGAGTAGCGACCACAGCAGGCATAGTGATGGGGTAGTCAGAGCCCTTGTATCTAACGCTCACCAAGCACCTACCATGCTCCACATCTGATGTTGAGCACTTCGTGTGCGCTGTCTCTGTTAATTCTCAACGGATACCTATAGATGGCTATTGGTACTATCCACCCTTTCTGAAAAAGGAAGCCAAAACTGAGAGTACTTAAAAATTTGCCAGAAGTCATGCTCTGCTGAGTCTTACTCCATACTCAGGTCTTTCTTTCCATGGCATTATTCGGGCAGTTGTGTGCCAATACAGAAATTCTTTTGTACTTGAAGCTCCCCTGCAATGTGAGCCTCTCTGCCCTTTCCTCACCGGATCTCTCTCGAAAGTCTTGCTGGACCTGGTGCCAAAGGGTGGCGTGCAGATTCCACGCTCCCTCCTGGGCCTGCTAGAGTCACCTTGTGGGCCTGCCCTCCCTGCCTGGACCCCTTCTGTTTCAGGGTCCCCTTGTGCTAATATAAGAAGTCTCCATTGTCCAAGGTTTTAGCTCACCCTGTCTCTAACTATGCTTTGGACTTGGCCATTAGCTCCACGCTACAAGGTAAACTCTGCTGTTTCTAAATACCTCCTCAGAATGCCAGAATAAATTCCCAGCTCAGAAACCAGTAGGGGCTTATGCGGTCATTTACTGTGTGGCCATCCAAAGTACACTCTCCAGTCAAAGTGTGGTGCCAGCATTGGTTCGATTTCTCTACTGGCCCCCAAATCCTTCACTCTCTCATCCCCATGTTCTTTGGTACTGGGAGCATTGTGATGTCACTTCAGCTTAACATAACTGTGGTCTAAATATGGTTTCAGGGGCACCTGGGTGGCTCAGTGGTTGAGCGTCTGCTTTTGGCTCAGGTCGTGATCCTGGGTCCTAGGATCAAGTCCCACATCCGTTACCCCACAGGGAGCCTGCTTCTCCTTCTGCCTGTATCTCTGTCTCTCTCTGTGTGTCTTTTATGAATAAATAAATTAAAACCTTAAAAAAATAAAAATGATTTCAGTGGGAGAATGAGACATGTTTTGGTGCAAAATGCCACACTCCTGTCCTTGTTTTTTCCACAGTGGGGCTGGGGACCGGCTGCCTGGTCTTCCACAAGAATGACAATAAGCATCCCTTGTCCTGACCCTGCTGATAGGGAATCCATGGTGCTGGGCCCCAGCTGCCCTGCGGTTTTCAGCCTTGGCACACGGACCATGCAGAACCAGCTGCAGACTGCTATGCTTGGGGCCGTGGGAATATTCAGGGGAGCAGGATCTTGGGCTAAACAACCTGAAATCAGGGAGAGAGTACAACTATATAATTTGGCAGAATGTAATAAAATACAGTGACAAATCCTGTTGAGTCCGCAAAAAATCTAGCCCCAGAAATTAAAGAATGTTTATAAGGACACGTCCAGTGACATACACTCACATGCGCACACACAGTGGTACTGTTTCCTAGCATCAAAATCCAGAAAAATAAAACAAGAGTCCATCAACAGCCAAATGATGGTACACATTTAGTAGGGAATATTATGCACCTGTTTAGAATTTGAGTTTGAGTTGGGAGGATTGCCCAGGAGGGTTGTTAAAAGGGAGAAGAAACCTATAGGAGAGTACGCGAATCCAAACCAAGCTTTGTAATGTGGTGTCAACAACACCCCAAAGTAAAAATAATCAGCGCTCTGTGCATGTGTGCTGTCGAGTCAGTACAACAGTGGAGAACCAGGTGGGGTCTCAACAGTGGCGGCCCCCAAAAAGAAGAGGTAGGAGGATTATGGATTTTATTTTCTTGGTTTTGGGAGCACAGGTTGCTTTTAAGAGTATAAAGATGAGGATAGTAGTTCTTAGATCAGCAGGAGCTTCACATACACTTCTGAAAGCGGGAGACGTAGGATTGAAGAGGGGGAAGGTGAGACAATTGCTGAGGAACAGTGGCTCCTCCACCATATGTGTTGTTAGGGCAGAAAAATAATCTTATTTTGTGCCCAGAGCTCCTGCACCAGAGCTGGATCACCTCCACCTTCTGCGCCCGTCCACCCCAACACATAAGCGTGAGTACACACACACACACCCTGGGTGGTGGGACAGGCAGGAGTCTGATAGCTTTAGAGGAAATTACGTTCATATATAAGGCATTGATAACACGAGCGTGGGATCTTAAGGTAGGGATGACTCGTTGGAAAGTGGAGTCCACTAAGCCTTAGTTAAGGACCTAGCTCATCAGCCCATTCTCTTGCATCCTTGTCCATGATTTGTCAGAATGACCCAAGAAGCACAAATAGGCACTGAATAATCATTCTGGCAGATGATTTCTGTCTCGTTGAACAAACATTTCCCAGCTCTGTTGGAGTAGCAGAGCCATCTACTCTTTTTGGTATTTTGATAACATAAAAATGATCATCATTGTCGTCATCATCATCACTAATGCATGCTGAGTGCTTATGTCCTAGGAACTCTGCTGATGGCTTTCTATCCATTATCTCATTTTATCTGCATAGCACCCCTGTGAGGTAGGTTCTATTATTACCCCTATTTTACAGATAGGGAAACTGAGCCAGGATTCCGACACATGCCATTGGACTCTAAACCCACATCCTTCGTATGCTTGGGAGGTTGGTTGTTACCACAGATTTAGTGGGTTCAGACCAAACCATCTGAAATCAAATAGTAAGGCATGTGCAGTAGCATGTTTGGGGTACCCACACATCATTTCATTAGTCTGGAAGGTATGCCCAGATTGGAAACTGACATTTAAGAGGCTGCTGAGGACTTTTTTTTTGAGCTGATGATGAGCTAAATCCCGAATCAACAGTGTGACCTACTATTAAAACATCTGTCTCACACTGCTACAGTAGAAGCCCAGGCTTGTAATGTTGTGAAATAACAGGCCTGTCTCACTTTGTTGTTCTGAACCCATCAGGGATAGTTTTCACTTGGGACAATACCTTTTCAAAATAAGCATGCGCAAACAAGAGTGTGTCCAAGGAAGCATGACAAGGAACTGTCAAGCTACTTAGTACCTACTCTGGGCCAAGCTCTTGCTAAGCACCTACCTAAAAAGTCTAATTTGATTCTCTCAGAGTCATGTTCCCAGGCCTTCACAGAAGAGAAAATGAGGGACAGAATGCCCAAGAATGTTGCCCCGGATCCCACATTCGACGGATGGAAAGCTGGAACATCATGTCGGTGTGTCTGACACCAGAGCCTAGGACGCT